AGTTTCACGGGCAGGTTCTCGGTTCACTGATTGAGCTACGACGATGATCCAGTAGAGTCACAGGTTAGGGGAAGCCAGGTCGCAGAGTCTTACATTCAACTACGATCAGATTGGTCCAAAAACCTGCGACGGGAGTATCAGAAAGAGGAAACCCACCTATAGGAGTTATCGGGAAGATCGTTCTAGGGCAGCGGCGCTAAAATGGAACTGCCAGAGGAAGAACACCCTACGGAGACTACAACGGACCCGTCGTAGACGGCGACACGGCAAGTTTGGACTCGAGTGGCTTCCCGTTGCCGTGGTGAGGAATGTGGGTCGTAACCTCGTGTGTCTGTCGAGCCGAACGAAACCATGGTCCATGTGGTATGCAGTCATATTTGAAATGGTGGACACGGTTGACATTCCGATTCCCATCCAAGGACCCATCCGGCCCTTCAACGCATTGCGCTTTGCAGAAAAGAAACGTGCGTAATTCATTTAAGAGAACGTGTTCTTTGGAGGAGACTTCCCCAGAGTTCACACGGTGCCTAAATTGCGCATACATACGCCGGTCCTAGGCTCGAGTCGTGCTGACGCGTGGCGCCTCTGAACCCCTCAGAGCTCTGACCTTGTTTCCACAGGTCAATTGAGCACATGTCCGATTGTTCCAAAAGGCACGTGTGTTTTCTTCTGGGAAAAATTACGCGGGTACGTGCATTACCAGTTCGCGACTGATTTGCCGGTGACTTCTCTCGGCAACTCGGCGGCTTTGGAACTTTCTGAGGATAAGAGGCGAGTTTGAACTGGTGAGTCGGAGAAGCGCCAGGCTTCACCAGTCACTCCCTAAGGCTGCCCTCGCTTTATCTGGAACATAAAGGGCATCGCGTCCTAGCTGTACGGCATGCACTCGCTTTCCTCCCATTCCATTGGTATTAAGGGTTTCCCGCGTGGGTTAACATACGAGTTCCGCTTTTCCATACCTCATCGACTCGGATCGCGCACACCTCTGATATGTAGTATTAATGAGAACTCGTCCACATTCCCTAGCTTTTCCCGTCGGCGTGAAGATAATGCAGAAGAATTCTCCGGACTTCGTACCCGTGATCTTCGTGCCCATGCTTGAAGTTGGGTCCTTGAGAAAACACGGGACATGAAATGATGACGGCGTTAAGAAATTGTCCTCTCCGTTTGATTTAGCGCAGTAGTCCCTATTGTTCCGATGATGCTATTAGGGTTAACCCCTGGTTGACCGGTTCGTCTCATCCATGTACGGCTCGATGATTATTTCGGTTATATGGTGCCCATCCTATACTCTCCGGGATATATTCCCTAAAAGGGGAAGAGAGTCCTTCCAAAACCATGGTCAGCGCAGTTCCGGCATTCTTTGGAACATCGGGCGGCAGATTTTGAGTTCGCCGATTTCTCTTCACTTTCGAGCACCGAGTGACTTAAAGCGTTTTCCCAAGTACCGAGAATTCAGTAGTGGACGTAAAAGGACTGCGCTGGGTGTGCTTCGGACGCTAGTATATGCCCTTCTTCCCAAAGTTCAACCCCTGGGAGATGTTTCTAACAACACTGTTATATTCGATGGTCGCTTAATGCACTCGCAACGGCGATTGAGGTAGACATGATACTCTAACCCTCAAAAGAAGGTCAGAAAAAGCATCACACTGTGCCTTTCAGCAGAAAAGTAACGAACGAAACGCTAGACCTGCAACACGGATCTCAGAACCTGCAATTGTTGCTTGTGAACCTTATCTACATTGGTCAGTTTGTAGATTGCATAATATGCAATCTACAAACTGTTTGTTCACGTCAGTGCCCAATCTCTGAAGTCTGAGGACCGGAGGATAACATACTATATTGCTTCTCATTGGAAGTCTTTTCTACACCTCATCCACAGTGAACGGTGTCTCCCAATAGTTGAGATTTGGGGCCTCAGTAGTTCCAGAGTGACATAAAACCACTAAGTAGTGGTAAGTCGCATCATTGTAGTGCAATATTTGAACTTAGTAACAATGACCACGGTAACGTAGAGGAGAAATGGGGGCGTTGCCGGCATCAAGACTGTAGGACAAGATGTTATGACCAAGCTATATACCTGGTCTGCATATAACATCTCATTCTTTATAGAAAGTCTAGTTTCGCCAAATAGGAAGAACCCAAATTTATGATAGCTTCAACTGAAGTTGGTTACACTCGTGTTTGAATAAATTTTGCATTAAACTTTTTGAAGCTTAATGTTCTTTACTAGATTATTTAATCTTTGTTGATACATATTTAAATTTCAGTTAGATTCATTAATATGCTCTATTAATCATCTATGATGTGCTAAATCAGCGAAACCCGATGGAGTTGTTTTGCAAATTTTTTCAATGTAGCAGTGATATGGACTTACTTTTGCAGCAGGTTAAAAGATATAGCAGCTGCAAACCATGTCCTTTTCTGGTTGAAATGTTCGTCAAGAGTGTTGAATCTCAGTAATTGATATAAGAAGATACTAAACGAAAATGAGTTGGTTCCAAAGTCACCACGAATTGTATGTGATATTGATCTGTAAAATATTTTTTACAGGAGCAACTAAATAAAGGTATTCGGAAATCTACTGGTTACGCCACCCCTAGACTAGTTCGATGTAAAATTAGTATCACATAGGAAAGTAGGTTATAATAGAGAGAGAGAGAGAGGGGGGGGGGGGGGGGGGGAGGGAGGGAGGGATATCTAGCTGTACCTTACTGAATATACATATATACGCTTTTCCATATATTCTTATTAACGGACTCATTGCCAACTCCTTTCTTTACTTCAAAAGGGTTCGATCAATATGCTCAAATTTTAGAATGCTTAACTCGATATAGTATCCCTTCGTCTTCTCTCCAGGTTAAAGGTAAGATATAATCACATTGCCGACAAGCTACATCTAAAATATTTCACAGGTGTAATCATACCTGCATGAAGTTTCTATTAATATGTGAAAAGAAATATAATATATTTTCGATATATAAACTGGAATACCTCATTTCGATCATAACTTGTTTATATATTTCGTCCGGCTAATTTGATTGTCACATAGTGCTCATTGTGGAAAGCATTTGTTTGGAATTCTCACCTCATCTATATCAGTCAGACAGCTATAGCAATCTGGATCTTCATATACTAAGATGTCTATGCTGACCTATGATGGCGAATATCCGAGTACTAACAAACTTTCGATAATGAAGGTCATGGCCGTAAATCATGACCGATAAGGACTGTAAAGTGTTTGAAGCATCGAAAAGGATAAATTCTAATATATCTAGAATGCGAAAAGAAGAAGTGTGGTGGATGTTGCCAAATAAGGAAGGCTAAATAGCGATGGTACGGAAGCCCTACTAAAAACCTCAAGGTGCCGGGAGTGTTTGCTTTGAATCGACTGCCGAAATTCTTGTTCACGGCATAACCTAGGGCTCGCCGAAGGAGAAGACCGCGGGTATGTGATGTTTGGAACCTGATAAACATGGTAGATTGAGCCTTGCGCTTTCCGGACATGATCTCATCACACGCAACCGCCTACCGCAGTTTGATAGGGGTCAAACAGAGGTGTAGTGAAGCGAGAGTGACACGGAAGGAAACTACGTAGAAGCTTGTTTGGGTTCGAGAGGAAACAGGAACAAGTGTTTGTTAAAAAATCAATCCGTATGGAATGTAGAGAGACACATTTTGCTCACGTTGTACTGCAAATGAGCACGTTGTTCCCTTTATTTTACAATATACTACTCAACGGGCGAGGGTTGGAACTCTCGGAGTAAACCAAGTCAAGTGCTTCTCTCGAGTCACCGTGATACAGGCCGCAACCACGGACGACGTGTAGGGTAGGACTCTCAAGGTCCCGACGGGGTCCGCCGGTCTGCTTCTCCACGTCCTTCGGAGTCTCTCCTGCAAGGACGCCATTGACCCGATTCGGAGACCCCGTCTGATTGGCAGAAGACGAACGGCAATCCCGTAAGCCGAAATCGCATACAAACACGCCGCCAGCATCTTCATCGCATGTCTTCCCGGTCGAGATTGATTCCGACAGGAGTCTTCATGCTGTCTTACGTGGAATCACGTACTTTCAACCCGCTCTAATTAGTATCAACGGCCTTTCTCAAGTTCGCGGCTCAATAATTCGACGTGATTGCCAGCTCGAAGCCGTGTCAATAGATGGACGGATACTTCACTCAAGCGCCAACCTAGTTCCAACTAAAACAGGAACGAACATGATCACTCGGCTAAGGACCATGGTTTGAGGCGAAAGTATTCGAGAGCCCTGCCGCTGAGTCCTGTGCTAGCTTTACCATATCGCGGGGTTGACCTCGAATAATGCCATATTACGTGATCCTAAATCTAGCGCCTCTCAGACAGCGGGTACTCTGGAGGAGTCGCCACAAAGGAATTGCAACTAGATGAGACAAAACCTCAGTCGCTCTGGCTCCGGCCCTCGAGATAAGGACGATGATGCGGTTGCGCAACACGGCTACTCTTCCCCCTTCCTATCCAATCGGAACGGGTCTGTGATCCGTCAGAGGCCGAGACCGGCAGATGCTCTCCTTGCCCGGAACAGCGATCCGCGAGGGATCGAGCCTCATGAGCGAGCCGCCAGATGAGTTTTCTGAGCGGAAATGGTCGCATCTGAGTCGTCCACTGATCCAAGTAAGCTGGAACGATGAGTCGTCGGGCCGAAGGTTCGGACCCGACGGAGACGCACCGGCCCCACACTCGGGGGCAACCGGCTGGAGCAGGAGGCGGAGGGCAGGGTTGGCGGTCGCTCTGGAAGCGGGTCGTAGGGGGTTCCCGGGCGCGACGTCGGGCCGAAGAGCTGCGGGCGGGCTCTGATTGACGAGAGCTGACCGCGGTCGCGTCCGAGGGGCCGCGACCGAAATCCGCAAAGCGGCCAGAGGCCCGAGGCTCGAGGGATGACCAAAGCCGACAAGTTTCGGCAGAGGGCGAGGGGGAGAGAGACGGGATAGTGGCGGTGGGGGCCTCCTTATCATTGTTGAACGCGTTGTGTTGCGCAGCGAAGGTGCAGCGTTAGAGGAGGAGGAGGAGCAGATGAGCGAGAGGGACGGAAGGCCCAGGAAGGAAGCAAAGGGTCGCCAGGACAGGGTGAGAAGCGGGTTCGTGTTGAGGGGGCGCTCGTGTCCGCGTAGAAGCTAGTAGTCACATGGCAGAAATGCTACGTTGCCGCGTTATGGTGCCATGCTCAAAAGCACTGGATTGCCAGTGGCACAATCCAGTATGCGAACATTCAGCGGTTCAAGAAGTGGAAGAAGAAGAAGAATCAGAGGCTGGTGATAACTCCACTCTGGCTTCTGTCTCTGCTGACACTTGAGAACGAGCGGAAGTGTTGACACAGAAAGTCGCATCGTAGATTCTTGAACTCGAATTCTGAATTTTCTGTCGCAGATTCAGCGATCCCAGCTCGAATTGTAGATTCGTCGGAGTGTTTCGGTGGTTGGACAGGCAGGTCAGAGGGCAGAGCAGTGAGTAGACGCACAGATAGGAGCGCCGCCGCAGCAGCAGGAGCAAAAGAAGAAGAAGAAGAACAAGCTGATTGTTACTCCGACAGACAGTCGATAGGGTAGCGGTGTCAAAGGGAAATCCACCGGGTAGAGGAATTTGACAACCGCGAATGAGTCGTACATGAGAGTAGAGCGAACGGCGACTCAGGAAGAGCCTCGTTGGTACTTGCCCATTGCCCGGGCACCCTCTGAGACCAACACCTAACACCAGAACAGCGCTGCAGCCTTCGCTGCTGCGCAAGGATTTTTCCTCTGGAGCAAACAACAATTCTCAACCGGATAATGGCAGAGCTCAACACCACGCTCTGGGACCTTCTCCAGACCATTCAATGGTCCTACGCTGCGCTCTGGACCCTGACCCCCGATCGAAGGTGGGTTTGAGTTCGCCCAGATACCTAGTCTTGCAACTCGCAATTAATCGGTGATCAGAGCGGTTGGGTGGGATGGGGTGGGGTTTTACATTTCTGACCTCACCTTGCTCGTTCAACTTGCAGGATGCTCAAGTGGCAGGAAGGGTGGTTCAACCTGAAAGCGGCGGGAGACAGCAATGGAAGCGACTCAGATAATAAGAATGCAGAGCTTTTCTACTTCCTATACAATCAGTTGACATTTGCCCCGGGCGTCGGGTACATTCCAATTCCCTCTGGCACTGTCAATTTGGCCGGAAAACCAATTCAGAGTTAGCAATTCGTCGGAACTGGACCAGAATTTTTAATTTCTATGCGCATTCAGTAGAACAACTTTTTGTGCAGGATTCCAGGTCGAATGGCAGCTAAATTGGAACGCATCCTGCTTGGTTATTTTTCGTCCGCAGGTTTGCAGGTCATGCTCTCCAACATATGGGCGACAGAATTCTCTGGTTGGCTGGAGATATGGCTTTGGGTAGCATTCCCAATCCAGTTGAGAAGCAGAGCTTTTTCATAAAGGTAGACCAGACCTCCACCTCCTCGTAGTCGGTTCAAGTCATAGGCTCAAATTCAATCATTCAGGGCACTCGCGCTGGCACCCAGGCTCTTTGTTCTCGCCGTGATGGGAGCGGAGCTCAGTCACTCCGTTATCCTTTGATAGATGGCCAATTAAGTTTCGACATAGTAAACATCAGCACAACTCTCGCTTTTGAACCAATTCGCATTCTCCACAATCCCAGAGGGCTGGCGGAAGGTCGAATGGGACTGTGGGATCCCATTCCTCGGGAGCTGGCCTTCAAGGAATTTGCTGCTGGCCAGGGAATTGGCTTCCGGGATTCCTTGATGCTAGGAAAGGCTGGATCCCTGCGGTGTTGTCTGTTGTCTATTTATATTCTATTAAAAGTAGGTCCCTGAATTGGGGCTGAGACCAGTTTGGCATTAGGGGTAATCTGGCATAAATAATGCATGATCCGCGAATTTGACGTCAACCACCAGGATTGAGCGTTTTTTGTGTGCTGAACGTCTTATCCCCACAGGCAGCTGGAATCCAGACCACAATCTGCATCCCGTTGGAGGACAAGGTGTTGGAGCTCGGCACGATCAACTTGGTAGATTCCGCCTTCCTCTGTTTGACACGCTGGGCTTTGCTTTGTTTGTGTATTGGGCCGATTTGTTCGCATTTCTGGACAGTCTTCTGATGCCTCGCTTTGACCGCCGACACAGGTTCCGGAAAATGATGAAATAGCTCACTGCATCAAGAAGATTATGTACAGCCTTTTGGACCGCTACTTGAAGAAGCCTGAGCCTTGCCACTTCCCCGACATTCAGTTCGGGCTGGAAATGAACAATTTAACCCCGACATCGTCCGGAGCTGGGCCATCGATGGTGATACCACTTCCGAATGATTTCTCCTCGCTGTCATCGAAACCAATGAATCTGATGGCTATGAACTTGCCCACAGTTTACGACGACCTGGATGCGAGCTACATTGTGCCGCCAGTGGCAATGTCTGCTCCAGAATTGATGCAGAGCCGATTATCTTGGACTCCAGAGCAACTGTCGATGCCATTGGGTCACAATGACTTGGACATATGGAGCACAGCATCCACTTTAGCGGCACTGCAATCTCATGGGATTTCTACCTCGTCCGCATCATCGACCCTCATGGTGGACCATATCGAACAGGCTCTTCCAGGGTTCACATTGCCAATGCCGTTCATCGAGAGCGACGTGACATTATTGGCACCTTCTCCTTCCCCTCCTATAGTAGAAGCCACCACATCGCTCCGTGATCGGTCGTCCTCCAGGAGCTCCCTTCGATCCGGAGCACACCTCGAAGACAATGAGATTTCCTCGGTTGCCAAAGTGTACGCGGATTGTCAAATATCTGAGCCCAAACTCGTCGCGGAAGCGGGGCGAGAATCCGACAGCAGGGTGTCGTCGGGTCGGCTTCGTCGCTCTCCATCTCCCAAGGAAATGTCACCAGATTCACTCTCGAGCTTGCCCAAGCCCAGGGCCCCTAGCCATGGCCTACAACAGCCTCTCATGTTTCACCCGGGTTCAACATCGGAACCAAGCCACCAACGACCACGATTGGAACGACAGAATTCCAGCACTCTGAAGCCCGCCGACTCCACTCCGGTGCTAGTGCAATTGGGTAACGTTTTGCAATTAGGAAACGCTTCCGGGCAAGTTGCAGAAGCTCCTCCCCAGGAGACCGACGAGGCAGCGGTGTCCCACATGCTGGCGGAGCGCAGACGAAGAATTAAACAGAATGAGAATTTCTCTCAGCTGAAAGCTCTGATCCCGAGTGCTACCAAGGTAAGAGGCGTTCAGATCTGTGACCGCTCGGTCCCGTGATTTGCTAGTTCCCGCGCGGTAGACGCACGGCCATGTCTTCATTGAGCTTTTAGAGCGCGACGCTGTAAAGGTTGTTCTGACGGACGATGATGATGATTTGTGATGGCATTGTTTGTGCTCAGATGGATAAAGCAACGGTGCTGGCTGAAACCATAGTTTATATTAATAGTCTGAAGGCGCGCCTCGAAGCTTTGGAGCAGTGCAATCAATCGCTGAAATTTTTGATCGGAGATCGGGCGACGGACATAGCCGGGCCCTCGAATGCACCCGCCATCCGGCTTCCCACTCCTCCTGTGCCGAGTTCACGAGAGCCGGAAAGGGTGGAGGTGACTCCTGACGGAGAAGGAAACTTGAGAATCGAGATAAGGAGCCCATGTGCTCAACCAGAGAATGCGATCCATATACTGACATCTCTGAAACAGATGCAACTCAGAGTCCTAAGTTCCCAGATGTCTATTGATGATAATAGGATCACTGCGACTTTTGTAGTTAAGGTACGTCAGACTGGCTACGGCATGGACATTGCACTCATCTGTCTTATGATTCATAACGCTAAGATTCCGATTCAATGGAATGATTCCTTGTCTTTCACGATTTTCACCAGACTCGTGTGTGTGTGTGTGTGTGTGTTTGGTAGCACCTGTTTTTGGTACCCGTTGCGCATTATAGACCTGGACAGTAGCTCTCTTTGCCATCCATACGCTGCCGGCAGGCACCCTTGACGTGTTAGACTCCAGTATGATCTCGTTAGCCGTACAGGCTCGTTCAAGTAATCAAGCTTCTGCAGTTCGTCCCCTAGGTGCCCCGGACAGACGAACCAGCGCAGAAGTGAGTTCTGCGGACGTAGCTAAGACGTTTTGACATCGGTTTGTGCAGATGAAAAGAAAGAATTCGACTGGCCAAAACGAAGTCTGTGCAAATGTGACAAGCGAACTCAGAAAATGCTTAGGGCTTTAAGTCTGAGCTCTCGTCGACAAATATTTACCTCTCAGTGCACTTAGAGCCGAAGGAAAGATGTACAAAGTATCCTCTTTTTTCTTAGTTTCTTTTCCCTACCGATGGTGTAAGAATTTCAAGCTCTGGTCGTAGCAGAGACACTCAGGCTCCTTTGCTTGTAAGATAGCAACAATCGAAGTCGATCTCGCCGGCATCATCTCGTTCTTCCCTAGTGTACATACGACCTAGGATCAAAGCTTTTAGAGATGACTGTCGTGCTGCCCGCCCCGAAAGAAAGAATCGAGGAAAGAGACAGCTCAACTTCAACTTCACCCATTCATTGATCTGGTCTGATCACACATGCACTCATGAAGATTTTGATCTCGTATCAGTTTTGAGCTCTTCGATCGTAGACAGACTGATCCCCTATTTGTTTCTGTAGTGCAGCCAAATAAAAAGTGGGCCTCGAATGTACACATATTTGCCGCTGGCATACCATATAAGTGAAACTTTGAAACTTTTTACCAATCAAGACTTCATGTCTACGATTATGTTCGACTTGTACATCTGTCATCTATCACACGGCTACGACGTCTTATTGTTTGATCGGCCCCTCGTCGACTTTCTGATATCGTCATCTTGCATGTACTGATCTCCTGATAACTCATCGATCATCTACATCGGCAGTCCTCGAAGTGAACATTGTACTAGCGGATCTGCCTTGGTAATCATTTGTTGATCCCGGTAAGACAAACGGCCACGTATATATCAATTATATCAAGGACAATCACGAAGGCGAATTCTGCCTTCAGCACAGAAGATTTCGACCACCATGCGCCAATCATGGCTATTGTAGAGAATGAGTGGTACGTTAGAACGGTCGAGCAGTTTCAAGTAGTTTGGAAAGATCTCAACAGATCTCGGAGATATTACAGCATCAACTTGTCGGATGATAGAGGAGCCTACTATTAAGCCGCGTGTTCTGCAATTGAGAGACAAACCTCAGAATCAGGGTTTAGGTTCCATTCAAAACCATTACAGTTTGCATCCAGCGAAGCATGATATGCCTCGGAATATTAAGTTGTCCTACAGCGCCCTAGCGAACGGCGTCGAGGATGTGTTTGTGTCAAGTTTGAGGTCTTCAAGCGACGAAATGGATACGGAGTTACGAATTGTTTCAGGAGGAGACTCTCTTGCCAAGTTCGCTGTGAATCTGCGGGGTTGACTATCTTCTGAGCTATTCGGACATGGTGAAGAACGTTTTAAATGGGCCCTGGCCCTATAAGTCTCTCTCGTTGACTGCAACATGTGAGTACTGCATCCTTCACATGTTTTTCTTCACTGTATGTCAATGCGCGGAGGAATCTACCGAAGTCAAACCGCAGGATGACCGCACCTCGCAGCAAAGGTGAAACTCTATCCTGACGCGAAGAAGCGGGAGTCCATATATTATACATTTCTGTCGAAGAACCGTATATTTCACAGGGACCACTCTGCTTCCATGACTCTAATCCCAGTCGTTTCGATGTAACTCGATTGATTCTCACTCCACCCTGTCCGCGGGAATTCTTGGGAGCTGGGAGGACCTAGGAATTCGTCGCCTGTTGGTCAGTTAAAACGACGTTCATTATTGGGCACATTATTTCCTTTTAACGGCCCTAATTTCCTTCACAAGCGCTTAGATTCGTTGAGGAAATGAATAATTAACCGAGGATTTCCGAAGGTTGGGATGGGAGATGAAGACCGAAGAAGGAGTGTGGACGTCGCTGCCATGGTCTTTTCTTTCGTCCGTTCAAGTTGAGAATTCGGACAGGCCGTAGAATGTCCTGCCGTAGCTTCGAGATCATGGACCGGTCCAGTTGGTCAAGTGCAAGGTCCTCCTCCGTTCGTCCGACCCGTCGTTGCGCATGCAGTTAAGTACACCATTACTGATTCCCGAATTTAACATACATGGTGGCCTTCCTCCTAAGTTTTATTGATCGGGCGACGTCTTTGCGTACTTCCTACTTTTCTTTCTTTCTTTCTCTCTTCCGAGTCCACTATAACACGTTGGTAACCATTTATGTAACTATTCTAAAGCTATCTTCATGCTCCTGAAGTGCGCTTGACGAGAACCGTTGAGTAAGTTTGTGTTCGAATTGAATTTCGGTTGAATAGATACGATCTCACCAATGTTGAATGCAAAGATTTATTTTTGGATCAATGATCAATGGCTTTTACTTTTGGAGTAGAAGATGAATCTATCCGCTGCTATTGATCAATGGCATTTAATTTAAAAGTTTGTGAAATATTATGTCGACATACATGCGCCATCACAATACATGACTGAGAAGATTATCAACGATTCGTACTAAGATCCGCCTAATGATTCCTCGATTGAACACAAGACTATGCTTGAGATACAAGTCAAAATTGAAAATTTTGGTGATAACTTTGCCATTAGTTTTAACGGCCATTCTCATCTATCAACGAATCAATTCAATTCTAATCTAATGATGCAGAATTTCATTATAGTCGACGTCACCAACAATGTGAGCAACGTTATCATTTACGACGAACTTGATCAAGGAAAAGATGTTGAAGTTTTATGCAACCTTTGCCTTCTCTATCATCTCTGACTCCAAAAGCAAGGATGCTCCCCAAAGATCTTGATTCTAATACTGGATAAATGTGTAGGAAAAAACAAGTTCAAGTTAGTATTCATGTTTTACGTATTGTTGTCATTGTTTTTCTATGACAAGATCGTTTTGTTGTATTTGATTTCCGGCCATTCACACAATCAAGTTGATCGTGTCTTCACATGATGCCGGAACAAGATGCACATCATGAACTTGTATTATCCTACTGCCAATTTAACTAAGCTGAACAAAATTGAATTGATGTCTAGCGAGATACTAGATACTCGATCTCCGAAACGACCGTTCTTTATGAAATGAATTCCATTGCTATCGAAGTACTTCAAACCCATGCTGACAAACTACACCATCAATTATATTTTTGAAATTGATCAAGGTGTTGTGTCCATGCGCCATCTTGTGACCACGCCGGATAACCACATGGAGATGTTTGCGACTATTTTTTCATTGAAATTGATTTGATTCGCAAGACTGTCTTTTTTCATCTATTTGGCACTGATGTGCAGACTATTGATGACGTCAATTCAATTGACAATGTAAAGCTCCCTTGCATTGATTGAAAAAATTGTCCAACAAATAATTGAATTCATTGGGTGTCAAGTGATTTTCCATTTCTCCAAAGGAGCTTTTGTATTATCTAAACATTCCTACTGATATCATCGATGAAGTAGATCATGAGAGTACAGATTTGCAATCCAAATCTGATTCGAACAAGGCAAGCAAGCCAAAAGTTGCTGTCGAGTTCATCAAATTCAAGAAATCATGTTCTCGAAGTCCTATTAACCTAGTGTTAGTTCCTTTAGTCAGACATCAATCTTGATTTTTTTTTAATAAAAACTAAAAATATGAATGAAATCTATATACTAGACGAAGATGATTGATGATGTTTTTGAGTCAATCAGATAATTATTTGCAGAAATCTCGACTTACTGAAAGATCCGGAGTTTTTGGTTGATCCAGATTAACTGAATAGGTTAATTTGTATGCTCAATTGGATTATCACATGTGATCATGGTCTTATTTAATGATATTAGTTTCTATTAGATTTATATTTGCAAAGAAAAAATTTTGAACACAACATTTAAGTTGATTCATAAATTTGAATAATTTGGAATTTTTTTATAAATGACATAAATTAAACACATAATTATCTAAACATTGATTAATATAAAATAAAAAAGACAATCAATATAGTTAAAAACATCAAAATATTAATAATTTGAATTTTTTCTTTGAAATGAAAACTAAGCAAAAATCAATTAAGTGAACTTTGGTAAAACATACAAAAAAATATGCTTAAATATTGATGATAAAGTTTTTCAAAATATTCAATAAAATTAAATTTAAATTTAAACTTTTTTTCAAAATTAAATTCATCAATTAAGTTCATAATTGTGTTGAATATTGCTATGTGTATGATTATTTAGCAATGATGAATACAATATTTAAGAAAAAAAACATTTTTATAGCAATTTTATTTATCATTTTACTTCAAATTTCTTACATATGAGATACCACTAATTATGATAGGCTTTTGAAACAAATTTGATAAAAAAACCAAGCAGCCAAAATAATATTGAGATGAGTCTAATGATGTTTGGTAATCATAAGATAATACATTAGACCATAATGACTCATATCATAAGAAAGTTGATACATATTGTGCTTATTAAGTCACCAAAATCTTGTATTATAATCAAATGATTGATTGATGTTTTGAAATCCATTTAATCATTTGAAAATTGTCAGAATGATTTAAAAAAAATTGAAACAAAAAATAGTTATGATAGTGGATTATGATGAAACCAGTAATAGACCAAAGTGATCTTTGTCCATAGTGAATAATGAGGCAAATTATGATGTGAACACATGATTGGAAACAATATATGATTATGCTTATAGACAACAATGATTGGATTTAAGGAAGAATTCAATGTAAATATGTTTATTATTGTAAATTTCATATGTATACCGATAGAAATAAGTGCAATATGGATTTTTTCCAAGCAACAAGTAGTATAAAAAATATTGCAATACAAGTAAATGACTCAGAGGTCATGTATTTTCTAACATTTTTACCTATTAATAAATTTACTAATTTATTCATGGTCTTCATCAAGTAAAATAAAATTTGAAGACAAAAGTAATTGTTGATATATATATATATATGAATATCTATCTATAGATGTATTTTGATCAAAAGCATGTTAAGAAATATAAAAAAAAATGTTAGTTTATCTTGTAATGAACAAGGTTTCACTAATATCTGTCAAGTTAAAAAATATTCATGAAAGTGGAAAAATTTCCAATAAGTCATGCGAACTCTAGAGTATTTTTTCACAAATTCAAGCCAAGTAGCTTCTTAAAAAATAACCTATAATCTATTCACAAAAATGATCAAAGAAAATTGATCTTATGTCATATTTAATCCGGTTTAAAATTATCTTACATTTAAACTTCTTACAAAAATCTTGTGAAAATTTGACTAGCTTAGAGCTTTTAAGATGAACTAAAGAATTGGATTAGTTTCAAGCAAGTTATTGCTTCAATTTATTTGTGTTAGATGTAACATATTTTTAAAAAAATAATATCAGATGATTTTTTTTCAAATTACTTAATTGGTTCATTCATTCTCAACATATAAATTCAGAATGCATCATAAATTCAATACCTCCATCACTCATGAATCACACCAGAATGTAATATTCCTTTCCAAGTTGTGCTAAAAATCTTGCCATTAAATTTATAGTAAGAATTAATTCATGAAATATTAGTTAATGAGTGTTTTTTGTATGAATGAAATTGAGCTCACTTTGTTTTTCCATAAAAATATCTCTTAAAATATACGCTTAAAGTATTGATCTCAATTGGAAGATTATACAGAAATA